CTCCCTCCTCCATTTTAAAGAAAAGCCTCAATAAAAAAAACAACACAGCAGTATCTATAAGGTCAGATATTTTCATGGCTTGGGTAGCTCTCAGAATATAAATTATGCACCTTGAAAACAAGGAGTAAATAACTTACTAATTTTATCATTGCCTTCTAGGCTTTGTTTACATTTATTTACATATTTATTTATTTTTAGAATTTTGCCATTTCGTCCACGTAGGCCAGTGGCCTTTAATCTCTTCGGCGCACAGGTGAGCAGGGTAACACGGTGGACACCTGTTTGCTCTCTAAAGTTAGGTAGTCCTGACTGTTAACAGTGCGAATAGATTTTCTTAATAGTTGAGGGGTGCAGCAGATTACAAAATGCTTCCTTCAGAACAGCAGGATGTGATGCAGAGTATTCACGTGGTGAATTATGAATGTTCCTATAAGTTTGATCAAGTGATGGGATCTCCAGCGATCAAGAGAGGAATCACTTCCATCACAGAAAAGACTTTGGAGTCATTCAACTCTTTACTGATGAGTGAAACCCTCACAGGCTGTTTTCCCAAAGCAGCAGAAACATCGAGGAGCAAACACAGATCCTCTGTAAAAGAAGCGGCAATCAATCTATTGATTCATAATGGAGATTGAATGGTGAAGAATTTTATACTTTACATATTTAAAACATTTTAACGTTTTTACAAAAAAGACAAAATGAAGCAAATTAGCTACAAATTATTTTGTTTATTTATCTATAATTATGTTTTTTGGTTTATTTTACTTTTGAAATTAATTTTTTGCCAAACTTTTTACTTTGAAATAACTTTATAGAAAATTTGCAAAGATAGCGCAGAAGGTCCTCATATATTTATTGTCCAGTTCCACTGTTTTTACTATTGTGTTTATCATGTACATTTTTCATAACTAAGAAATCAACGTTGGTGTGTTACCAAACTCTACTAACCAAACTCCATATTTCTTTCAAATTTAACTAGTTTTCCTATGAATCCCTTTTTTCTACTCTAGAATTCAGAGTTGAAGTAGAAAGTGCACTTTGTTATGTCTCTTTGGTGTTCCGTGGTCTGTGGCATCTTTTTCATGACTTTCATAGTTTCAGGTACTGGTCAGGGATTTTTGTACAACATTCCTCATTCTGGCTCTGTCTGTTATTTTCTCACGAGTAGACTAGAGTTAGGGCTGTTGGGTAAGAAGACCACAGAGGCAAAGTGCTCTTATATCACATCATATCAGGGGTACATGCTGTAAACAGGACTTACCACTATTGTTGAAGAACAAAATGTCAATAATTATGTCAATACCTTCAAAGATCGAATTGGCTTTTATTACTGATTCTTGTGCTGAGAAATATCCAGTCTCCAAACAACCTCCAATGAGCCAGAGAGAGTGGACAAGTTGTAGAGGCAGCAAAAAGCAGAGGAAATCAAAAACACTGATCAGGTAGTGAATCGGTTCTTTCACCATTATTGTCCCTGAAGGAGTGCAAATGAAGTCTTGTTGGCCACCATCTGTCATCTGATTTTCATAAAGTCAAATCTCTTCTACTCTTGGAGGTCATATCTTTTTTGTATTCAATTCCTGCTAAGTTTATTGTTTTTCTCTCAGTTTTTATTTTTAATTAGTACATGTTTCCAATACACAGTGATCATATTCCTTACAGGAAGTTGGCACATGCACATGACACATCTCAATCCATTTTCAACCCCTTCCCATTCTCTTTTCTCCTTCCTTCCATCTCTCAATCCTCTTCCCTTATAAGAAAGATCTATTTCCATAGTTCTCATTATCTATCCTTTATTTGCTCTTCATTTAAATTTTGGCTTTCTTATAAGAGAAACCATGTGATATTTAAGCTTGTGTGTCTGATTCATTTCACTTAACATTATGGTCTCAAGGTGCATCCACTTTCCTACAAATGGCTCAAGTTTATTCTTTATGGAAGGTCAGATCTTGCAAGCAAACAACCTAAGTTTCATGGTGATGTGGAATCTTAGCATGAGTTACAGTATTTTGGCCTGCTGCTTTTTCTTTAAACATTTGTCACTGTTTAAAATTATCAGCATTTCAAAGGTACTCTCTCTCCCCTTTAATATTCTATGGAAGCAAGTCCAGCCCAGCTTTAAGATTTAATACTGTCTCACAATTATTCATTCAGATGACCAGTAGAACTGAAGACATAAGACACAGTGCTTTGAGTTTCTTAGAGAAAAGGTATAAATAAATGTAAATGGAACCATGGATCTCCTGATCTTCACTGAGTCGCTTTCTCATGTTGGAGTATGACATTCAGAGCAGGCAAAAGTAATCAGTATTTTCTGTCTATCACTTAGGATGAAAGAAAGCTGAAGAGATGTAGGCCAATTATACGCTGTCATGACAATGGGCCTTCATCCAAATCCCCAGGAAGGCATCACAGGAGATCTTCAGATGGCAACACAATGCACTCCACCATCACACTCCCATGCCCAGATCTTAGCACCATTTTACAATCTATTTACTGTGATCTTTGAAGAGATAAAATCCACTTGCCCAATCAACATGATCTTTGACCTGAACCCAACAACTATATTTTTTTATCCACTATTATTTATGGAATACCTATTATGTGCCAGAACTTTTCATATTTTTCTACTTTATCTTTCAGACATGATTTCATAAAATACTTTCATTTTTATAAGGAAATTGAAAGAGGTCAAGTAGTTTGGCCATACCAGCAGAAGTTGCATTTGGGATTTAAAATAAATTTATTCTATTCCAAAGTGCATATATGTGAAATAAATAATTTTTCAAAAATTTGTCATATGAGGAAAAATCTAATATTGTGGATTCTTGCTAGGTTAACAACATCATTAAGATTTTTCTGTAGTAAGTAAGACTAATAGCTCTTTTATTTTTAGACAGTAATTTTGCAGTCATGGTATCCCCATAATTTCTAATATTATTTCTCCTGAATTCACTAGGTAGATAGAAATTCATTACAGTAAAAAGCATTTAGCTGCAGGTGTACTGGAAGCAATCATTCCATTTTCCTCACACTGCACACGTGCTGCTAATTTTGTTTTTGTATTGACAGTCAACATGAAAAATGTTTAATAGTCAAGGTAACAGGGAAAATCAAATCAAAGTTCCTCTTGAATATTACTTGAGAGAAGTTAATATTTTCAGGATCCAGTTCTTAATGCTTAAAGACACTAAAAATATTAAAAGTCATGGAGTATGGAAAAATCCATAAATTCTTGTGAAGCCTCGTAAAATTATTTTCCTGGTAGGTGAACAAAGGGCTGAACGATGCCCAGATATACAGGTGAGAAGTCCACCCCATTTGTTCATCTGGAGAACCCTTCCTAGTTGAATATGCACGGTAATAATTGGTCACTTCTCCATCACTGTGCTTCTTCCAGAAGCTATGAGGTGGGTTTTTGGTTTTGTTTTGGTTTTTGGGTGTGTAGCTACGGGGAAATGGTTACACGGAGCTACACATTATTCAGGTTAATCATGAGAGCACAGAACAATTTGCCATTCCAGTCTCTTGATGGCCCAGATTTGAAGTGTCTGCAACTCTGTCCTAACAGCCGCTGGCATTGTGTATAAGAGGCCATCTGGCAAAACTTAAAGTAGGTGACAGTTTTTCCTCCCATTCTTTTCTCTACCACGTGTGTTACAGTTTCTTTCTTCACTCAGAGCACTTTCTATTAATATGCAGGCCCTCTTGTCAAAGGGAGAAAATCTGGTCTTTAAAACCTTGCTGTAAGTTAGTTACTCATCTACCTTTCCCTGAGGTCTGCATTTTAAGATAGAAACCCGTAATGGAACCTGAATTAACAGCCTTCTGTGGCCGGGACCCGGAGGATCCAGTCGAAGGCAGAAGACCTGGAGCTCCCTGCAGGGTCCAGTGTGAGTCTATGTCGGGAAGCAAAGAGTCTGCCCTGGGAGATGGAAGGAACCGGAGATGAATGTCCACAGGCAGGGACAAAGCCCGCAGCTTCTTTGGAGAAGAAAAGAGCAGACTCCCTTCTTTTCCTTTTTATTCTGTCCAGGCTACAAGTCTATTGGTTGGTGCCACCCACATCCGGGGCGGGTCTTCCCTCCTCAGTTTGTGGCCTACCTGTCAATCATCCAGAGACACGCGCAGGGCTTTACTGATTTGCTAGGTGGCTCTTACTCAAGTGAAAGTGCCATATCCCAATTAACGATTACATCTAATAATGTTCAGATAAAACGTATTTTGTGCAATTGGACTGATAAAACATGCAAAATATAGCTATGAGGTCTGCTTGAGATTCATATTTAGTCACAAGAAGCAAGAATAATTTCTTCATTCAATAATACTTAGAGAACACTGACTATGATGCAAGAATTTCAGGCACTAGGAGTATCATAGTGATCAAAATCAAAGGTCTCTGCTGTCCTGGAGCACATGCTCTACAGGGAGAATGAACAGTGAGGATGCACAAGGCTAGAAGAACAAGCTAAATGGCACCTGCCCAGACAAGGCCTTCAGAGGGACTTTCCATGGGTTCGCAGCAGTTAAATGCAGAAGTACAAACTGGGGGGCTGAATCCACTCTGGGTTAAAAGAGCCTTACCACCAAATATGGATTTTATAGCAGGAAAATGTAATGCATAGGTCTGGTCTGAATTCTGATTCAAAAAATATGCATTCAAGAGACAATATCAGGGGATCGTTGACATCTGTTCTGTAGTAATTGTAGTGTGATTAGGGACAAAAAAACCCCTTATATACTGCTTAGAGCTGAACTCTGAATTATGTAAGATAGACATTATATACTGTCTGGAAAGAAAAAGAAAAAATGTAAAATTCTTGTGGAAAAATCTGATAATTATTTAATTTGGTTGATGAGTATATAGGTGTTCATTGAACTATTGTCTTTTCTTTGCAAACTAATATTTTATAATACAAATTAAAAATCAAAATGACAATGAAAATGTGTTATTGTGCATATTTATCATGTGCACAATGTGCAGAGCAAAAGAAGGAATGGAGACAATGGGTTTGTTTTCTAAGCTCCCAATTTATCAACCTCACTTTGATATTCTTTCTGGTATCTTTAAACTGAGCCGGTGGCTATTTTATCAAGCTGAATCTCTAAGGAATATGCTATTCACAGATCACCTTTGGAAGATTTTACATTTGAATATATTCTTTGTTAGATTAACAAATAGTTTCTGGAAGGACTCAGTGAAGATAATGAAAAAATCTATAGAAGAAAGATGATATGACAGAAAAACCCAAGTGGAGGAAAATCTCAGGGAATGAGGTAAGTCAGAGATGCTAACACCTTTCACATGGAGGCATTTCAATATCTATATCTGTATATCTAGGCCCTCTCCAAACTCTTTTCCCTGAGCAGTCTGCATCATAAAATTAGTATATGCTAATATTTGTATTCATAAATATTTATAAATGTCCACATGTATTTGGATGCATTGAGATTTATAAGTATTCTCATGTATTTAGATGCATTTCACCCCAGGAAGAATACATAACTGACCTTAAAATATTGTTTGTTGCATTTCATTTATGCTTAAAAATGGCACACTGAAATTCACAAATTTAATAGAAATTACAGTCTGTTTCCAGAAACGGTGATGAGTAAGAACTCACCCTAGGGCTGGGCAAGTTCTTCTTGGGCATTTCTCATATTAGAGAGGAGATCAGAGTCTGATCACTGTCATGAATTCATTAAATACATATTCACTGTGATTCGGGAACGAGCACTGAGATACTGCCAAACACGGTAGACAGTCCCTGATGTAACGAAACTATAATAGCAGGAAGTGTAGGTGCTAAGTCACTTCAGCTGTGAGGAGCACCGGACAGGCAGAGGGCAGGGTGGGAGAGAATGGACCCTAAGTACACAGCACTGGTCGATGGTCGAGGAGACGCCCTAGTGAAGGAGCGTTAAAGCTGTGAGGGCGGGGTGGGTAGAAATGAGCCCTACAGGGTGGGGGAGTGAGAGAACCGGAAGTAGGCAGAAATCAGTGCCGCACAGTTCTGACGCACAGTTCTTTTTTTTTTTTTTGGGTACCGGGAATCGAACTCGGGTCCTTGTCCTTGCGCAGCAGGCGGTGAAACCACTGAGCTAAACCCACGGTCCTAGAGGCACAGTTCTGAAGGAGAGAGAGCAGGAACCCCACAGAGCAACAGAAATCGATCGTGGAGAGGTGGACAGAGCCCTGATCCTTTGTTGCGTTTATTGTCCATATTTAGATGCATTTTACCTCATCCTGGGTGAAACGGGAGGCCGAGATAATGCCCTCGTGGAGAGCAGACACAATGAAGTTGTCGTTGTTGATTTAAATTCCCTTGCACGGTGAAAAGTGTGTGGAATTGGAAGAGAGGCGACCAGTCATGAAGACACTGCTGACGAGAGGGCCGTCAGCTCGCACGGGGATGGTGGCAGTGGCGATGGAGAGACGCGGGTGGATCAGGAGCATGGACAGGAGTTGCGAGGTCCAGCGATCGCCTAGGGCCTATTCCCTCAGAACCTCCCCCGTTGGCCATGCCCTGCGGAAGAGCTCAAGAATCACACTCCTTCCTGGGCCTCAGAGAAGGAAGATGGCTTTTAGGGAACAGGTGTCTGCCCACCCTAGGGCAGCAGGCAAATCATTCAACAGCTTTTGCTCCCAGCCCTGGGCGTCCTTAAGGTGGCTCCAAATGGGTCCCAACCACCTTTTAGGCATCATCGAATCAACGCCGGAGAAACATTTTGACGATTTTGTTGCTTGATGTCCGTCTAAATGGCGCACGTGCTCCTGACTCTGCAGAGGAGATGCTGGACCCTGGGCCCGCCTGATCCCATGGGAACTGAGTGAGCCACAGGCCAGGTAAGAGTCCCAAGCCCAGTGAGAATGTGCAAAGACAGTTCTTCACTGAGAGGTGGTCAAAGATATGATTTAGAGAAGCACCAGACTGTAGAGAAGAACTGGAAGAGTTTCCCCGTGAGAGCACTGATTTTGTTGTGATACATAAAACTAGGCCTCAGGAACTATTTCAGCATCTTTGGCTGGAAGCCCTGTTGTGAATGGAAACTGTTCACTGAAGGGTTTGGGTGATTTCCCTTCATGGTGGGGCCGTGCCTGGCTCTGCAGGAGTGGCTTGCACAGAAGTAGACACGGACGGTAGCATTCTCATGAAAATAAGCTCTCACAAAACGGGTGGAAATACGCGTCTCATTAAAAACCCAGTGGAAATCAGGCTGTAGGCCAAACACGACTGAGGCATTATTGCTAAAATAAATTGAATAACCTTTACTTTTCTTCTGTTTGCCTCAGGAATCTGTGTTCCTGTAGCTACAAGGTAGATTCTCTTGGCTTGGTAATTTGGAAAGTCCTGACAGAAGCAGAGAGTTTGCCTCCCAGGGCTCAAAGTGTTTCTGAGGTATAAGGACACGACACTAAAAGTATTACGGCCAGAATAAAAATTTTGCAAAGCAGGTGAAATCTACAAAATGATTTAAATTATTATTGTACAGAATAAATTTGGGATTTTCTGACCATTAATTCCAAATTGTTAATCATGTAAACTTGTTTTTCATTTAACCTGCTTACTTTCTTACAAAGTCAAGGAGGTTTATTTTGGCTCATGGCTTCCCAAGGTTCCATCCATGGTCAGCGGGCTCCATTGCTGTGGCCTGAAGTGAGGTGAAGCATCACAGAGGAGATGTGGGGGCCAGAGCTGCTCACCTCTTGGCACCTGGAAAGCTGAGATAGGGAAGAGCCTGGGAGGGAGGAACTGGGGGCCAGACAGAGTCCCCAAGGCTGCAGCTATATGATCACTTCCTTCATTGAGGACCGAGCTCCTGTCTCCATCCCTTCTAACAGTGCCATTGACTCATGATCTCGTTAGCCGATTAACCCAGGGGTGAAGTTAGAGGCTTCCCAAAGCCAAACACTTCCCAAAGCCCATTAGCATCCAAGCCTTGAATACATAGGTTCTGAGGCCTCTTCAAACCCAAACTATAACAGTCAGCTAATGTGTAAATCATGGTCTGTCTTCTGCAGGTGTGTGGTGTAATGATGGGAGTACACAGCTGAGCTCTGTGATTAGGCCAGTGCAAGGCTATGGCTCTAGTTTGTATGACTGAGGGACGACACTGAAGGGATTTTGTCCCTATACCCTACTGCAGCAATGCCTATGCGTTACCCGATGATGGATGGACGAACATACCTACCCAGGAAGTAGCTTTAGCAGGTGCCAGAACACAGCCCATTAGACATACTGCCCTCCTGCTGACTCTTACTGCATCCACCTCAATAGACATACATTTAGTTTATTGTATTTTTATGTCTGTAATCACCTTATGATTAATGTTATTTATTTAAAATGGCTAAAGCACTTTCTTTGAGAAGATGTACATTAAGTAGCAATCCATTAGCTATGGTTAATTTATCTGATTATATATTATCACCTGTGGTTCCAAATCTCAGGTAGGGTCAGGATGGGAAAATGTCAACTTTGGCTTGGCAGATAAGAATAGGAATGTTTGAAATGTCAGAAGCCACGGTCTCCTAAGCAGGATGTTGATGTAGGCAGGGAGAGAACAGAATGGCAGCACTTTTAAGGTGACATTCTAAGAAAATATGGCTTGGTCAAAAATAATGAAATAAGGCAGCAGCCTTCTAGTTTGGAGAATTAAAGGCATAATCTTTGGATTCTGATGTAGCTTCTGAGTCTGGGAAAGTCATTTAATTTCTCTATACTCTGGTTTCCTCACATGCATAATAATTATAAATATTACATCCCTACATGGGTGAGGAGCACTCAATGTTATTATTTTTATTTATGTATTTATTTTATTTTTATTTTTTGGTACCGGGGGTAGAACTTGGGACCTTACACTTTCCAGGCAGGAGGCGGCACCACTGAGCTAAATCCCAGGCCCGATGTTATTATTTTTAAATAGTATCTTTATTTGGGGGATGTTTGAGGTGTTTCTACCTTATGGCAAAATGCCATTAAGTACTTAATGGAAAAATGTACACACATTATTGAAGAGGCCTTTTTGGCCATTGAGAATTGACTGATGAATTCTCCACCTTTGGAAGAAGGCAGATATGGTCCACTTAGGTGGCTCACGGGGAGAAGCGACAGCTGATCCTTGGTGTGGAAGGTCGGACATGTTTCCTTCACATGCATCATCTGTGCTCTGTCTCCCAGAAACGTCTCAGAGTGCTGGGACGCCGCTGTCCCTCGCCATGGTTGCCAGCTACCTTGGGTGGCTAAGGTCCACCACTCAATTTTATGGGGAGGAGAAATCCAGTTCTGCTTAGGGTAGCCGGGATGAAAAAAGGATTCAATTCAGAAGACTTGGTTATAAATCCTTGCTTTTAGAGACTTGATAGATTTATTGTCTTGGAAAAATCACCCCAGCTTTCTTATCCATAAAGCTGAAGTAATTCTTATCTGACAGCACTGTTATGAGAATAGAATGTTATAAAATATGGAAATGTCCTGAAAGAAAATCTAGAAATTTATCTTTTAAAATAGTTTCCTAGGCACTGACTGCACCAAGGGATTTGGTGGTCTACAAAATATCGTAATTTTGCCAGCCCTTGAGAAAACTGGAATGCGTTTTATCCCTCTTCTCTGGACAGCACTCCTTCTGAGACGTCTGTCCACCACGCAGGCACAACTCCCTGTTCATTTACTCAGGTGAGTTCATCTTAACAAACTCATTAAACGATACATGGACTTGATTTGCCTATGCAACTAAAAAGCCAGGGACAGGTGTGGATTGAGTCAGTGGATTTTTAAAAGCCACTTTGGATTCAATCTCATCCCATCTCCTGATTCTGCATCATGTGATGTTACCTTGTCTCTAGGATCTTCTAAAGGGGTCCAGTAGACCCAGGAATGTACCTGTTTTCACATTTGGCCTGTGGAAGAGTCCCTGTCCTAGTGCTCTGACCTAAATACTGAGGCTTTTAGGTTTTGTCACATGCTCGTCTTTGACCCGATCCTGATGCCAAAGGACAGGAACGCACAACATCAGCTGACCTTGGGCCATGTGGTCTATTTTGGACCTTTGGGGAAGTCAGCTTCTTTAGGATCACATGAGTCTACAAGTTTAAACCAGAAACTATCTAGAAATGTAAAGAGAGCCCACAGTGGTATTTCATCTGTAACATGTCCACCACCCACTGGCTAAACAAAGCCATCGGACTGGTCTGGGTGTGTCTGGGTGGAGTGGTCCTGGGGTCTGTCTGGTCCATCGCCCCTTTCCCTCAGGGGCTGGTCCTCTGCTCTGCTTCCCAGCAGCCAGGAACTGATCAGCTTTGTCTCCTCATGCCCTTCTGCCATGATGTTCCTGCCTTGGAGCCAGCTGGCCATGGACCAAATCCCTTGGAACCATGAGCCAAATGTACCTCCCTTTCTTTAATCTGTGGGTCTCAGGTATTTTGTCCGGCAGCAGGAAACCTAACCCACACAGCTAGAGATAGAATTTCTGGAGCTGTGGTAGGTGTCCCAGTGGAGCTGTGGCAGGTGGAGCAGATCTTACCGTAACTCAAGTGTGCATCTTATGTCCTCATGAGTCCCAGAGTAGCAGGGCGGAGAGCGCTCCAGCCCAGATGGCAAGGTTAGGCTTGGGTTCTGCATCTGTGACTGAGCAGGTGGAATTCAGGTGAATTGATTTTCCTCTGTAAGATTTTCCTACCTCTAGAATGGAGGTAGTAGAAATAATACTTACAAGTCAGTTTTGAGCAATAAATGACATAATTGAAAAAATGTGTTTAGTTCCTGAGATGCATGGAAGTAGGGAGTTAATGAATTTTAACTTGGCCGGAATGTTTTTCATGTATTTGAATAGAAATCCCGGAATAGGGACTAGGCCTAGAGAATTTAGTAGACTGTTTGTAAGAACAGTATAGCGCTCAGAGGGTCACCCCTCCTTCCCTCTTGTGTCTTCAGTTTGTCTCTCAGGGACAGAAGCATGTGCCTTTGGGGAGAGGCCTCAGGCTGTTTATCATTCTGGAGAGCTACTGAAATCCATCCTATTTAGAGCAAGCACATAATTGATTGTTCAAATTAGGAAGCTTGTTGGATTGAGGGAAGGTACTCAAAAAACAATGAATAGCCAGAACTCTGGGAGGCTGATGCAGGAGGATCCCAAGTTTGAGCCCAGCCTGGGCAACGTAGCTACTTAGTGAAATTGTCTCAAAATCAAGAAACAAAGACAGAAAAATGGCTGGGGATGTAGCTCAGTGCAAAGGCCCTGGGTTCAATCCCCAGTGCCATAAAAACCGAAATAAACAAACAAAAAACCCCATTAACATGGAATAGTTGAGCTGGAAGAGGTATACACAAGAACTTTCCCAGTTAAACTGCCTCATGTATGAAAGTCTTCACCTAAAATAGAAAGATCTAGAGTAAAATTAGGCACCTAATAAAGGCAAAGAATTCTAAAAAGAAATGTTTTCTCTTCTCTTTCCTTCTGAACCATCAGTAAAAACTATCCCAACATTCAACCATTTTGTTATTTTATTCTATTTAAAATACTGTCATAAAGATTCATATATCCACACAAATATTATAGAAGATGTATTTTTTACTCCTAATTTGAGTTCATTTGTTATAAGAAATAGGATCAACCAAAACACATTTCTATGGTTATATTTAAATATATCTACACTTTAAAAATAATAAAGCTGGTTATGTTTCATCTTACCCATAAGCCACCATATGTCAGTCTGAAGCTGAAGTTAGTAATGGTTCATAAAACCAGAGTTCTGAAATTTTGAACCTTTGGAATTATCTGCTTTCTTGTTTCTTTATTTCTCTCTGGGCTAAATAGAATTTGTACATCTGACATCCAAGGTCTTTATAAACACTATTAAAGTAATAAATGTCATTAACTTTAGCATCCCTTAATTATTGATCCTACAGAAGTAAGAGGATAATATAATGATCATTTCCATGCCATACCATACTTTTATTCCTTTTCGTGTGTTATGTGGCTAACTCCATATACCATGTGTTAGCAAAATTTACTAGTAAATTAATAAAGAATTTGTGCTGTTCCAAAAATGATTTGAGAACTAATAAGAAATACTTACTTTTTAAAATAAGAAGGATTTAAAATAATTTAAAAGAAGCAAAGGGAAATAAGATTAGGTAGATAAGATGCCCTCTAGAATGATGTTCCAGACTGGGTACATAAGTTTGTTCTTATGTCTTAGCAGTCAAAACAGGGGAAAACAGAATAAGGTTCATCTGTCAAAAGGTCCATAGGCTGAAAACAAAGCCCTTGCTCATGAGAATCACAATCCTTTAATGTTAAAAGAAGAGTTTTCTTCCTTAGAAATGTGCACACTTTAAGTTTCTTTATATTTCTACAAGGTAAAGTTATCGTATCATACTGCCTAGAAAGTTATTTTGTCTTCCTATGTTGGTGATTCTAATGCTTAAAATCTAACAATTTCCCTTAGCTTTGAAAGGTATTCATTCCAGTAGCTTGCTTGTGTACTAAATCATGTAATAATTGGATATTTAATTATATTCTACCAAAGGCTTACACAAACATATGTGCAGGTTGCAGTATGAAATATGTATTTATTCACTTTCCTCAGATTGTTTAACATAGAACTACACATGAAAAGAAAGTTATTTCCTAGCTGTAAGAAAAATAGAAAATCGCAGATATTATGTAAAGTATTGTGAACACAATTGCACATATATTTTATTTATATCTCTTAATTTTACACCTTAATGGAACTCAGAGTGCCGTTTCAACACCTGGACACTGATCAAGTCAGGGTAATTAGCATTTCAATCTCCTTATCATTTCTTTATGTTTGGACTCTATGGACCTTCATGAAATATACACTGGGCTGCTCTTGGGAACTCTAGTCATGTCTCTCTGCTGCAGAAAACCAACACTTATTCCTTCTTTCTGTGTTTGGTACCTGTGCCTCAACCTCCCTTAATTACCCTTCCCCTCAAATCACACATTGTCTTATTGAAACTTTACTTTTAATCTTTTTTCTTTTAAAAAAGGAATCAAAGAGCAAAGAAAAGAGTAATATCATTGCTTGTGATGAATCCAGGTTGCAGAATGCTGTCAGTTCTGGACACGTGTGCATATGAGCTCTCGTATCCTGGAGTAACTCCCACAGCAGCACTGCCATGGTGCTCCTCCTACACTGAGCATTACTTGTAAAGTGCAAGCGCTTGGGAAGAACTGTGACATGTGATGAATCTGGTCAGCGTCAGCGCACTCCTACCGCTGCCTGGCCGCCCTTGTTCAGACACAGGCAGAGAGTAGACAACAGGCAGACATGCTAATGCGCATTCTGCGGTGACCATCAAGAAGGCAGAGATAAGGCTCACCACAGGGGACAGTGAAGAAAACTTCGAGTAATGATGACAGTATATGAGGTGGGATCAAACTAGCAGATGTTTACATTGTTTTAAAAAATTAGTGCAATAAAAGATACATTGCCATTAACCCTCCTCAAAATATCCTCGCCTCCACTTCAAACACTCTTGGCCCTCTGCTCTTGCCACTTTCTGAGGCAGTTCTGGAAGTCCTCTTCCATCCGTGTCAGTAGTTGTACTACTGTGACTGCCTCGATGTCCTGAATCAGTTCAAAACATGTACTATTCATGGTCATTTTGACCTTTGGAGAAAAGCCAGAAGTCACACAGTGCCTGATCCAGTGAGTAAGGGGCCGAGGACACAGCACTGTGTTTACAGACCCGTGTTTCTGTCGGATGCACTTGGCAGCAACATTCACCACTTTTTGATCAAACTTCCTCAAGACCCTCATGAAGAGGACTTCCAGAACTGCTTCAGAAAGGTGCAAGAATGGTGGGAAAGTGCATTTAAAACTGGGGAAATATTTTGAGGGGGATTAGCTTCAATATGTCTTTTACTGAAATTATTTTAAAAATAATTTTAAACATAGATCATATCTTTGGTCATAACTTGTGATGAAATGATGAGAAAATAAATGTCATAGAGCTAAACGATAGGAGCCTGGATGTAGCAAGGCTGTCTAAGGCCAATTGCTCAAGTCATTTACCACAAAGAATTCAAAAGGAGGAGAAACACTGACCCTCATAGTAGAATTTTGCTATAGACCTGAGCAAAACCATCACCATTGGCAATATTTCAACACACTCAATGTTGCAAGAATGAGGTGAGACATTGACAAAGAAATCCAGAAACACAGTGGCTCAAACAAAACAGATGCTTAACAGAGCCGGAGGAGCTGCTGAGCTCCCCAGGAGCCCAGGTGCTTTCCACATTGTTGCTCTGCTGTTCCCAAGGTTAGCCTTGAGGGTTGGGTGGGATCTAGCTCAGGACCCTTGTTTTCTAGGCTGTAGGATGTAAGGAAGTAAACAATAAGTGATTTTCTCCTTTCAAGAGCAGAAGTGGGGTTGCACACATTACTCCTCCTCAATCATCATGAGGAGGAAACCAAGCACATGGGCACAGAGGGCTGCGAGAAAGGCCTCAGGCTGTCATCTCTGGTTGAGTGGCTGCATCTTGAGGGGAAAATAATTCCTCAAAGGGAAGAGAAAAGAAACTAGGAGATAAAAGTCCCCGCCCCTGCATGGCAACAGTTTTGTGTAATGAAATTCCAGGTTAGAATGCAGGATATGGTTCCAGGATAGTGGAATAGAGTAAGAGAGAGGTTTCTGGC